TCACTAAACACCAACCATTTTATCTGTTTTCGGCTGTGTAACTGCGTTGAGGTTAGGACTAGAGTGACGCAAATGAAGAACTGGTCCATGTTCTTCGATTATATTAAACCAAAATCGCATTATTATTGCGAAATTCATCTGAAATGGGCGAATCTTTGGCTAAGAGCAGTTGTGTACTGACATGAAAGTTTTTGTTTTATTACGTGTAATGACATGTAAAGAACGTAACAGACACTCAGTTGAAACCATTTTCATGCGTTCACAGCAGACATTTTGTCTTGCCAAGAAATCGAGGATAGTGCGAGAGGTTGGTTTTTCTCCGATCAGTTCACGGAGGCCTCATTTGTGCTTCGAGGAATGAAGGAAACTTTAACCACGTCTGCTCCACCCTTTTCTGTCCAAAGTCCTTATCCTCGTAAGAACTCCTTTTAAAAGCCTCCGTTCCCTTCCGTAACTCAGTTCTCCTAGAATGTGAAGATGCCATTCCTACGAAATGTTAAGACTGTGGTCGACAGCGACGCTCCTGTGTGCAGTCTTGGGTCTCCCCATTGCCTGTGGTTGCCCAAAGTCTCGTGCCCTTGGCTCGTAATTGAATTCCGCTCGTCTGCCTCCATTCATTCCAAATGATTTCTCCAGTATTCTCGTATTTTTTTCAATTACGTCTATAAGTTTCAGAATTTCTCCGTGATCTCAGAAATCTTTTTTCTGGCATTCTGTTCGCTTTGACAATGTTTAAGCGTCTCTCTTTGTGTTATATTACGCGTTTGCATTTGTGTGCCAAAATTTCTTTTAATTGTATCATTTATTTTGTAGCTTTGTTTCCTGAGCGTAAGTCAGGTACTTATTTGTATTACTTTTCCATCTATTTTTGTTTTAGCTTTTGATTGTTTCTTCCGACAATTACTGTTACTTAATTTTTGTATTTGCAAATTATAATTTTGTTTGGTTGGCGCGCGGCCAGCTGCGCAGTAGTCTGGTTGAATCTGCGTGTTCGATGTAAAAGACAAGGGGGAGGGGGAGGGGTAACGGGCTCTAAATATTATGCCCCAGTCGCAATGCCTTTTGTTTACATGGTTTATGTATTTGTTTTCCTTCAACCTGCAACACCCAGTTTGGTCCAGACTACTGTAATTCTTCTTAATATTTTCATGTTATTATTTGAATTACACGTTCTTTTGTTATTTGTGTTACGTAAGATCTTAATTGATTGATTGTGTGGGAATAAAAAGGGTCCGTGTCACAAAATCTGACCTTTTTTTAAAATTGGAAAATAACTCTTTCAAAGAGTTAAGACGTCAAATAGCGCTGTTTTTCAAGCGGGAATTACAGGAGTTCTTTTTACTGAAGACGCTAAAGTTATATAAATTTTGTCGTTGATTTGTGCCCTTTTCATCCTTTTTGCAAATGTAAGTGGTTCAGAGGGAAGGAAAGTTCGCGGTTATTTAAAAACATTTTATGTTATCAAAAATACTATAATTATTTTTAAAAATTTGTATTTTAGCCCAACACTTCCGTGCTAGAGTAGAAGTCCGGAATATTTTGAAAGTTTCGGCCACCGTCTTCTGCACGTGGTCACTGAGAACTCCCCTTTCCTGCTCCGTCGTTCAGTTAACCTTTGGTTCTGTTCCAATCTGAGGTCCTTGCCACAGGGAAAGAATGAAAGGTTTTGTTGAATCGCTCATTAATCTGACGATCCTGGTTTCTCTTCTGGCTGAATAATACGCGGTTAGCGTCGTATTTCGATTGTCTGGCTCTTTCATGATGGAGATGAAATTGTGAGTTCTATTTTTAGGCTGTTTACTCCCAAACTAAAAAATCTTGCACAGGAATTTGTGGGAGCAGCAAATTTTGTGGTTTCTTGTTAACGGTAGTTTGAGATTTTACCGCCAGGGCGCAGCTACAGTCAGTAAAATGTGACCTTGGTCATACGATTTGTAAATGTTCCAAGATGGCGCACGTCCGAGGTCGTGTTCTCATACAAGTTCACGGGTTTTACACGTGCAATCTGGAAAAGTGCCGACATGTGACCTGTTATTCCCACACATTCAGTTATACGATGTTTTTATTTTATAAAAGCTTATATAATTGTAGCGGAGTAAAAATATATCAACTGTACAGGTTGAAAACTACTGCTTTGGTAAATTCTTTGTTTTTTACAGCAGTGAGTTTGTTAATATTTTAATCGAAATATAACCATTAATAATTATATGTGTTATGAACCATATTGAATATATTTTAAAAAAAATCATGGTTACTTTTTTTTAAATATATTGTTAACACGTTGGAAAGGTGCCGTGAAACATCAGTAAATGAAATGAATGAAATTGCGTAAGAGCGAACTCGCATATTCAAAAGTTTGCGTTTCACAAAGAGCTCTTACCGATTCATCGATCTCATTGGAGCAAATTCGCGTTAACGAAACTTACGTAATTGCAGGGATGACTGTATTTATAATTTTTATTCGAAATCAGCTACGTAAGAATTACGATTTCGTATAAGAATCAGTACGTTATAAATAATAGTAATTTTTGACTTGCTGGTTTCAAAATCGGCGCAAATCGAGGGCTAACTGTATTTGACCTCTTAATTTTATTTAATCACAATCTGAACAGTTCTTTAATGTTGAAACTTATCACAGGGGAGAGGGGGAACTTAGCAACAACACCCTTTCTGTCTGTGTTCCTTTGAACTAGTTTGAACTTTGAACTTTATCACGTATAATTTGTTCACGTGATTGGTTTCGTTTACAACATGCGTTGTCTGGTCCTGCACTTGCTATACAGTAACCCGTTGTTTCAAAAATGCGTATTTAAATGCTTTAATGAAAGAAGTAATTTGTTTGTAAATGCATGTGGGATTTGAGGTTTTCACGGCGGCCCCGAAAGATAGGAACGCATTGCAGACGAAATACGTAAAGCCGATACCCCGTTCTGCCCCCGGCTCCCCTACTAATGAAAAGTGCGTAGTTCTTTGTAGTCTAATTTAGGCATAGACCGAAATATGTGGAAAGAAGTCAGTGTCGTACATTCTTCGTGATTTATTCAGATTAGAAATAATGAACACCCACATAAATGTCCTGCGCACTTGATTATATCCGATGTCAGAGAAAGTTCAGTCGGTGTTTCAAGTCACGAGCGAATAAGAATTGCTTATTTAATCTCGCCCACTCATTTCCATAGCTAATGAACAGACTCGAGTTTTTCGTAGAGTAAAATTACAATTACATCGACCGTGAATTTGTTTCTATACCAAAACTCTCTGCTTTTATTCCTTGTGGGCGTGGCGCCATGGCTCCAGCTGGGATCTTATTTTAAAGCATTCTTTATCTAGAACATAAAATGACTAAACAAGAAAACTTCTGCGTGGGTATAAACGGCGCTGTA